ACTGCAGTGGGTTCAGCCACCTTGTGACAAACAGAATCCCTCATTCTGTGTTGGGCAGGAGGGCTCTTTTTCAATATAGATGCATCTTTGATCTGTTTTGTTTCCCACATTTGGGGAAAACAAAGTCATGAATCATCACATCATTCCCGAAGCCTTCCTGAAGGCCGGCAGCTTTTTCTTGGTTGTGCTTCTCATCCTTTTGCAGGATCTTTCATGCTGCCGGCAGACGTGTCGTGACTGAGCAGCTTTCATTTTCACTTTCTGTGCAGCCCCAAATCTGAGACTGTCAGTTTTTAATGGTAAATGTTTGTGTAAGGACTAACTCTGACACCCAGAGTTACAGTTAGCACTATGCTAGCCGCTCAGTTTGTTCAGCAGAGTGAGAAAACACTTTTTCTACACTTTCAGTACCCATCCATGCATTTTCTATGGCCTCTTAATCCACTGCAGGGCCATGGGACTAAGCCTATGTCAGCTTTCATTGCACAGGAGGCTGACACCCTCTGGACAGCTCAGCAGTCAATTACAGCACCAACACACAAACACACTCACACCACAATCAGCTTTTGGATGGTAATAAGAATCTAGAAAATATGTTTGCTAAAAGATATATTTAAAATTCTTAGTGCTGGGAAATTATTAAGTCATTGGCTGCCAAAGACGTGTATAGAGGTCTTTTATGTTTTCAGCGAGAGTGTCTGGGGGACGATCTGCTAAAGCTTGTCCGTAAATATGGGCTTCTAGACAGAGTATGTAGTAACAAATTGAGCCTCTAGGGGGCAGTGCCACTTTTGATGGGAGATGAGCATAGACTGTAGGCAAATAAGAAAAAGGGAACGGTTCTATGAGAGAACATGTCGCCGGTGAGACGCAAGTCCAGGAAGCTCACACTCAAACAGAGTTTGTGTCGCAATCGCAATAGTTGGGTTGGTGTCCCGATCGTGGGAAATGAAGGAGATCAACCCGGGCCAAGCGGAGAGAGTAGGCCTAGCTCACGGCGTGTTTCACCACAGCTCAACTCCGCAGATAGTTCCGGGTCAGATGAATTTAGTGATTTAGCGAGATGTTGTTTTTGCCGTTTTATAGAAGGATACAACTTTTAAGATGTTTTAGGTGTCACTAAAGCCACAAAAATAGCATCAATGACACTTCTCTGCTTGAACTGTATCTTTTCACAAAAACCTTGTTTTCTCCATTTATTGGTCAAAAACTGGTGTTTTTGTTGAAACCAACCTATGTTCTACTGCTGATTACTAAAGAACGGAATAAGGTAGAAACAATTTTTTGTTCCTGATGAAAGTAGAGAGTCTACTCTTTCTTTTGGTGTGTTCGGTGTTTACATAGTCATAGCACAAACTATTCTGTGGCTCTTGAAAAATCAGTCAAAATGCTAAAAAAACTCTGGCAGTATGGGACTCTGTTCTGAAAATGGCTGCCAGTCAGTGAGTTAACATGTATGATCACAATTAATCTCATGAATTTTTCATTTAGCCTCAATTAATAGCATAGCAGTGTATGTCACATTTTATGGTTCTATTTTATGAAGAAAGCCCAATTCCATTTTATGCTAATATTTGAACGGATACCGTATTTTTTTTACTGCAGTATTCTCTTTGTATTTCTTAGAAATCTGGACACCGGCACAATCAAATGATTTCAAATAAAAAAACAACCCATAAGTTAGTTACTACTGCTAGGGGAATAAAACATGTTTATTCACATTATACTTTTCTCCATTGTTTCCTCATTAGTTTGTTTCTGTTGAAAGTAAACGGTGAGGCTGTGATTGGTTGAGACGTACCATGATATCCATCCATCCATCCATCCATCCATCCACCCACTCATCCATCCATCCATCCATCCATCATCCATCCATCCATCCATCCATCCATCATCCATCCATCCATCTATCCATCCATCTAAATAAATCCATCTACATATTATCTGGTCTGAAGTGGATCTTTAGACATGTGAAAATGTTTTGGGTGCTCTATCTACTGCTCGCTGAACAGTTGACACTGTGGAGTTGTTTTTGTGCCTCTCACTGTATTAGAAGCACAGAGCCCAGTTTCTCCTCCGATTTGGCTCTGTCCAGGTAATGCTGTTGGCAGAGCACAGAGGCCATATGCCAGCATGGTCCTCCCTACCGCAGTCACAAGCAAAGACCCGGGCCATCTGTCAGCTTCAGCTTCCTACTGCAACCTCAAGTCCTCCTGGAATTTACATGATCACTCGTTCAAGTCAGCCTGCTTGTTAATCTGCTTCTGGATATTTTCTTTAATTAAGGGCAAAGCCTGAGCAGACAAAAAGGTAGAGTTCATGTTAAAGCCTGGGCTGGGGGTTCCAGGACACCACCTGCAGGCCCCCCTCGGCAGCCTGCCTCTGGCTGCATTTAAAGGGAAGTGTTTAAACTTGAGCTTGATCACTTGGGATGGTAGCAGTATATTCACTGCTGTTAAGTTCTCTGTGCTGCTTTCCAGCCTGATTTGGTCCGGCTAAAACGCGTCAGGTCTCTGCAGCTGTATTGGTCAGAATGAGCTGTCCAGTTGCTGATGTTTGAAAGGAACAGTCGGCACACGTCCCGCTGCTCCTCATGGCCTCTCTCCATTTTCCTCCGCTTCATCTTTCATCAGTTATTAAATGTTGTGGGGCTCAGCAAGAAAGTGAAAACGTGGCCTCAGTCCAATTAAACAGTGTCTTATTTCGCTTTACAGCTTGGTAGTGCTTTATTAATAAGAGAGCCAAATGGGATTTGGTTTTATTATTTTCTGGAGATGAACAAACAAGGCAGCGGTGCTGTTAGGCTGTTCTCCTACCGGGACTTTCAGGATGCTACTGGAGCTGCCTGAGAACTCTGTGCACCACAAACCAGCAGCCAGCTCCCATTCACTGTTCCTACCAAAGGAGTTCCACAGCCGGTCCAAGGCTGTCAGTTTCAGTCAGTTTCAGCCAACTTGGGAAACGTGGGAATTTCTGCACCAGAGAAGCAGCACAGTCATGTTAGTACGTAACTTTAAGGCTAAACACTGAGGAAATAGATGATTTTAAATGAGTTTATAGCACTTACAAATGAACAGAATGGCTAGAAACCTCCTTTGGTGCCAACAGTGTTATGATGTCAGAATTCCCTGGACTGGTCATGTCATCCCAACATTCCTAAGCTACCCCACCATCCCACAGGACACAATGGAGGGCAAGGCAAAGCTGCTTTATTAGTGTTGCCCAGTTCATCCCCAGGAAATTCAAAGGGCTTTACATAAAATAGTAAAAGAGAAAAATGCATTTAAAGTCCAAATTTAACATCAGAAATGAAGAAAGTCAAACAAATGAAACAATAAAACAAATCAAACACCGTTGATTACATAGATAAAAAGCAGAGTGCAGATAAAAGACTCCCGGCTGCCTTATCACAGCTAAACAGCCCGTTTTCAGCCTGGACTTAAACATTCAGAGTTCAGGTCTGTCGGACTTCTTCAGGAAGACTGCTCCAGGTTTGGGGAGCAGAAAAGTGAAATGCAGCCTCTCCTTGTTTGGTTGTGACTCTGGGCCAGCAGCAGAGCCCCCGCTGAGCTTCTCCAGCTGCTCCATGTCACAGATGGACTTTAGACCATGGAGAGAGCCGCTTTAAAGTCTGTTCTTCTTGAGAATGGCAGCTTTGCTTTGGGCCGCTGGCTGCTCCTCTTTAGAAGAGTTTAAAGGCCTTTGGACAGGTTCCAGTCTGAGGGGAGGTGCTGACCAGATGAGCCCGTTGTGGTCACAAACTGCAGGAAGCTAGTGGCTATCTGGTCCAGGCAGCCTGGACCAGGCTCTACATGATCTCTGACCTGACCAGGGACAGGAGACGGTGTCAGCTCTAGATGTGTAGATGCACACACACACACACACACACACACACCCTGTCTGTCTTCAGAAACTCTCCTATCCTAACCCTAACCCGTACCTCTACCCCCCACGGCTCCTATCCTAACCCTAACCCGTACCTCTACCCCCCACAGCTCCTATCCTAACCCTAACCCGTACCTCTACCCCCCACAGCTCCTATCCTAACCCTAACCCGTACCTCTACCCCCCACAGCTCCTTCTGTAGTCCCTCTACCTCTATCTCTATCTCACCACTGACTCTGATCAGGGTTTCTCCTCTGGATAGCTTATTGTCATTGTGATGAGAAATGGAATATTGGCTCTACTCTGTAAGTCGCTTTGGAGAAAAGCGTCTGACAAATGCACAAACAGAAACAGAAACACACACACATCCGCACACACATGCACATACACACACACACAAACACACACACACACACACACACACACACACACGGGTTCTCGGAGCTGGTTCCCTGCTCTGGTGCTGCTCCTCTTGGGGGACCCTCCTGGTCCAGGGTGGTGTTTTTTGGAGGGGGGAGTGATCAGCTCACTGATTCAGGTGTGCTGTCACCTCCCCGGGCCCTGGCTTTGGTTCATGACACATTCTTTTGCAGTGTTTTTTTACATGCTGAAGGCTCATATTCCTTCACCTCATGGTAAAATATGCAATACGAATATGAAAATGGCTTTTTTCTTTCCCTTTTCAAAATAAGAGTTCATGCCATTGGTAGCTGCAAAAGAGAGACATAGTTCATATGAACCCTGAAAACCTGCTAACTCAGAGTTAGATGTGGCTGATTCAGCTTCCAGCTCGTCCTTCTTAGCATTTACTCCTGTTCCTCAAAAGCACGGTGTGCCTTTAAAGCAACCAGCAACAAGTGCAGCATGTTCTGCAGCCACTCTCATCTGTGAGGAAGAAGTGCTACTGACCTACTGCTGATAACACTTTAGTTACCCACATTGGAAACACTGTCAATAGGGTCATATTCAGACATGCGATCACAACGGTTCCCTACCTTAGATAGCCATGACCGCTAATAACCAAGTC